CCCTATCTTGACACATACCCATGCATTAGAGGTTTCTGCACCATTTCATGTCCGTGCAGGCTCTTACAGGTCCTGGCGAGTTTTGGTCTAAATGTCCAGCAGTCCCTGGTTAAAATGGCGACGTTCCGACACACACACACACACACGTTGTGACTGTGGTTATGGGCTTGTCTGCAACTTTGCGAACTTCCAAAGAATGGCGGCTTGCATTTTAGTGCACAAATGGACACCAGCCATTTGAAAGAATAGATACCAAGCTTTGGCCATTTGAAGGATCCTCAGCCAACAAATGGATCCACCAGCTCCCCAAGAGCCTTTGACATGGTTGGAGATAAATCCGCACGATGTCCACAGGATCCATTGCTTCAGTTTCAACGGGGCTTCCGGCGGGCACCCGAGCCGAGAAGGATGTGATCCAGTGTGTGAGCTCACGGCATTGTTAGTTTTTTGAACGGCTCAGCGAAATCTCATCTTTTTTGCACGAAAATGATTTAGGCCTGAGAGAAGGGTATCCACGGATTTCCTTCTTCCATCCTGGCTGGTTTGTTTTTCCGCCCACCGCCCGCGAGAAAAAGCGAGGCTTGGGCTCGAAGAGAGCTCGTGGAGGTGAAGGCCCTGGGGGTCTACACCACCAGGCGCGAACCGCAGGAGTCGTAAACATCCAGCAGAGGGGGGGGTTTGAAACACCAAGAGGTATGCTTGCTCTATCGGCAGTCGACATTAGTGGGCACCCCGGATTCATAAATCCCTGGCTGATTTTGTTCGGCGGGTGTCCCTTTTTAGTGGGAATTTGTCATTTGTGGGTCACACCTTCCTTCATTACGACCATGACTTTGGTGGGGCATGGGGAACCACTTTGTCGCAGGACGAAGCGACGGAGCCAGCGTCTTAAGGGTTGTGTGTGTGTGTGTGTGGAAAACATATATATATATATTATAATATATATATATTATAATATATATATATATATATTATATTATATATATTATAATATATTATATTATATATATTATAATATATTATATTATATATATTATAATATATATATATATATATATTATATTATATATTATGTATATATATATATATATATCACATCTCCACATCTATTTTTGAGTGACCATAGTTGTGCTTGATATGCTTCAGACTTGGCTCCGTTGCACAAATAGGGATCCCGGCTTGGACGCACACAGGCGAGGCGAGCACAATGCCAGCGTGTCACCAAGAGTAGACCTCAAGGTTCGGAAGGAGACTCCAGGTGGACTTTCTGGGGACTGCTGCTTTCCGCCAAAAAGCGCCCCTGCCCCAAAGACCACTCTGCGATCCAATCATTGAAGGACCCCTTTGGCAACTTTTTTGGCTTTGTGTCCCCCTCGGGTCTGCAGGGTCCTGGACGAAACGCGACGAAACCATATTCCGGGATGCAAACCTTCCCAAAGACTCAACTGTCAGGCCATTGTCACTACGGGCTGCCTTGAATGATGTTGACTTTGCGGGTCCTGATATGATTCGTACACTTCAGGCAACAAGGACGTTTTCCCCTTGCAGCCATGAATCTTGGGTCCGACATTTGAGATGTTTCTAGCTTTGTTCATCACCTGAAGTCTCCATGCCCCTTGCAACATGCGGTCATGTGCCCAAACTCAAAATGTGCCCCAGTCTTGTGACCCTTCAAACATGTGCTCACACGCAGATTGAAGAGTCATTTCTGCACTGTTTTCAGGGTCCTGGAGTCCTGGAGACTTCCGCTCGATTCCTTGGGACAAGAGGGCCGCGGGTTGTGCCTTGTCTCCAGGCTGTGGCCGGATGAGAAGAACCACCTGTCCCTCTGGGTGACCCAAGTCTTCCGGACCCTCGAGGTGCGGGGAGTTTCGGGCTTTGGGGCGCGGAGTTGTGTTTTTTGGGATGTCCTTTGAGAGAGACCCAACTACCCAGAATTCAGGGGCCATGGCCTCATGTTCTGCATATGTACATACATATATATATATATACATGTATGTGTATATATATATATATGCATGTATGTGTACATATATAGTTTTGCACAACCCCAAGTTCATAAGCGTTTTCAAGAGACGTCATGTGGAGTTCCGAGGAGTACACGCCCCACGAAGCTTCCGACGAAGCCAGCGGGACCTTCCGGGTGGAGCGGCTGCAGCGCTGGACCTTCCGGCGCCAGCTGCAGCCATCGCCCCGGAAGCGTCGTCGGGTCGCCGGATGGACGTGGTCGAAGATGTTTTGTCTGGTCCCAAGATGAAGGAAAATCCGTTGAAAGCACATGTTTTGCGAATTTCTTACACCTATTTTTAACTTTTTAGTGGGTTGCAGCCCTGATCAGCTCCCCTGTCTTTGTCTCCAGGGGCCCAACAATCTAGGCAAACAATTCTTCAGGTGCTGGCTCCTGTTCCCTCGATGCTTTGTTTTTCTAGTGGATGGGGGCAATGAGGCAATGACAAGCCTTGAGTCAGGGTAGCTCAACGCTTGGGCCCCTCAATCATGCCAAGGGATGTGCCCCAAACCGCACCGAGGGTTTACTGCAGCAGGATGTCTTGAGCCACTGTTATCACAGTTTGGGGCCAGATGTTGCTGCTTTAAAAAAAAACGCCAGCGTTTTGCTCCCTTTCCTCAAGTCCTTTTTTGGAAGAAATGCGACCATGACCCCATCAGTTTGGCAATGACCGACAGTGTTCACTGGTCATGGAGTCTCTGGATGGACTCCCAAAGATCTTTTCCATCCTAGGTAGAGCATAAACCCATCTGACCGGGTTCAAGCAGCGGCTGTGGAGGTAGTCCTCTGAAAATCCGAAGGCGATGGAATTGGGAGAGGGGGGCCGTGGAATGCGTCTTGGTGAGTCTTGGTGTTCATGGGTATGGGTATGTCAACATTGGGGGAGCCTCAAAGGTGGTGGTTTTCCTTCCAGTGTCCCTTTTTTTGTCCAACCTAGCTTTCAAGCAAAACACAGACCCGCATAAGGTTGCATGTCTTCCTTTGAGACGGGTCCACAAAGTGGGCCTTTGCCTTTGGAGTCTCCCAAAGGTGATCCGCATCTCCTACTCGAAGAGGGCGTTTGTGAATCCTGGGTCAGATGGCTATGAATCATATGAAGTTTAATGAGGAATCCCTCCACACATGGTGGGGACATATCTAGGGAACCCTCACCCTCACCCTCGAACCACCCCTTTCAGTCATTGCATGTCCCTGTATAGCAACCCATAGGAACCACCCGAAAAGAAGGACCATGGCGACAGGGTTACCTAGCATAGTGGCTTGCCCGGGATCCGGGTGAGACCCCAAAAGGGGTCCTTTCCAGGAACGACCACACCGAGGAGGCCCGGGGATCGGCACTGAGCGTCTGAACGCACGAGGCCCTGAGGTTTTCTAGTGGAACCCATCGCCTGGACGGCCCGTACTCAGCTAACCCTTGGTTGGTGTGGATTGGTGGCCTGGCTCTTGCAATTCGAGGGTAAATGGGAAGCCACCCCCTGAACCACACACCACCAATCCAAACCACTAACTAGGGATAATCAAGGTGACTAGCTTGCTTTGTTAGCTTTTTGGGTTGGATGTCTGTAGACAGTGCTCGGGTTACCATGCATGGCTGCTGGGTTTGGGTAAATAAGTACCCCTCCTTGAGGGCAAGAGTTGTGTGCCCCGGAATGAGTGCCTCTCGGGTGCTGCACATATTGTCCTTTGGTGCCAACCAATCGGAACCCGCCGGTTGGAATTCGTTGAGCGGGTTTTCTAGAGGTGATTGAAAGGTCACGGTTCATGTTAGGATCGAGAAGCCGCGCAACGCGAAGCAACTCAGAGTCTCCAGGGGTGCCTCACTATTGGCGCCTTTTTGTGGTTTTTCTGCAACAAGGATCCCCGTCAAAGACATGTCTTGGGGCTGGATAGAATCTTCGACGACTCCAACCAATGTACACGGGTTCCTGGGAAGGGAACCACCATGAGTAATTTCGACCGTGGCACAACAGTAGATACACACCACTTGTAGGTCCCCGGTGTTCAGTGGCACCTCCAAAGTCCCTGTTCGATTCATAAGTTCCTCACCCAAAATGATCAACTCAGACTCCAAGGGGTGGGACGGTGGGTGGGACCCAAATGAGCCATTGGTGAGAAAGTCCGTGTCTCATGTCAATATGAAGTCCGCCAACTAGCGGACAAGTGAAGCACAGTATGCGGGGCTAAGCAAATACGGTTGCTAATAGTTTACTCCTACAATCAAGACTGAATGTGATTTTCAAGGACCCCGCAACCGCCGTTCGAATTATTCAGGCCCTGAAAGTAGCGAGCTCCAGTCAGTTTGGGGTTGTAGCGGTGTTTTAGCCTGTTGAAAGCGACTGGCCTACAGCAGCTGGAGCCTCTCGATTCTCTAGATCCCGCTTACCACGGCAGTCCGCCATCTTCATCTCGGTGCAAAGACCCAGCCGGAAAAAAAGGTCTGAAACAGCACAGCCTTGGCTAGCTGAGTTTGCCCTTGGTTCCTTTGGATCTGCGCCTAGGTGACCGACTGGCAGCTGGTGGCCTTGGACAAAGGCTGCTGGCGCCGGTGAGCCAAAAGCGGACTTGGCAGCTGGGCGGAGTCGAAAGACGCGCCACTGGGTTGCTGTCCCGGTGTAGGTAGAGAACAGCCTACCCACATTTAAGGCCTTTTGGGGTTTTGGGGGCTCAATTGGGATTTTTTGGGCAGAGCTTTTTGGGCTCCGGCTGGTCTTTTGTGGGCCTGAGATCGATTTCGACACGGGAATCAACTGCTTCGAATTGGGTATGCTTCCCAGAAGAAGCCTTCAGGGGCGGTGCAACCCCGTAGATGCTTTCAAAGACCTTATTTTTCCAAAGAACACCCTTTTGTTTCTTTTGGGGGTGCCAGGCCTGGTTGCTTAGACTCAAGTTTTGCAACCGACGCCTGGTCCTTTCCCTTTGTTTAAAAAACCGTTTTGTTCTCCGCAAAGCATGATGCGCATTTCAGCTGTTTTTTGGGGGGATTTAATGGCAGGTGGGGGAGCCACCCCAGTGGTCCAGGGAGGTGAGCATCGAGCTCGAGCCCGGCGCTCAGAAGCCTTCCGTGTGCTTAAATGGTGTTCTATGTTCCCCTGTTGGTTTGAAGGGAACTGACATATTACTACATATTTTGAAGTATGTTTTTTCTATTACTGATTTATCAGGGGACTTCAGCCAATGGAGGTCACCGGCACAATGACTAGCACGCAGTTGACTCCCACAGGTCGATTGCCTTGGGGTAGTCAAAGAATGGGCAATTCTGCTCATGACTTCTAGTTACGTTCATTTGGTGATTCTTAAGTTACTTGTTCCTGGTTGCTTTCAACAGCGACTGGCTTGTATTTATTCGGGGAGCTGGGCTTACTGGCAGTTGGTAAACGGCACAATGCCGACCCCGGAGGGAATCAAGCCGTCCATTTGGTCCAAAAGTCATCAAAATCAACCAGGGGTTTGGCCTCGGGGAGGGTGCGAACCTGAAAGGCTTGGCACGTTCCGGCATGCGAGGCTCGGTCAAAACTGGCTTTCCAGCAGGGTTTTCGTTTCCCGCGAAAACGCGACAGACTCACCAGCAGCTTCTTACCAGCCCAGTTTAAAACAAAAGTGAAGCGCGACTCTGCGGGGGAGAAGCCATCAACAGATTGGGTGAGCATCTCTGAAATCGGCTTATATCGGCTTACAAGCTTCTTCTGAGCAAATGCCTGGGAATGTGCCAATGCAGGCCTGTCCCCTTGGTTTCCCTTTGAACCAACCCAACAAGGGTACCCTCGAAAAAGCACAGACCCACCTGACATCCCAGAGATTCTGTCGTAGCTGGAGGATGTGACACCTAAAGTGACCGCATTTGGTGGAGTCGCCACGGACCCACCCAAAAATCCAACCTCAAGATGGGCCTTTTCTCGCGAGACTTAGGTCTGCGGATGGGGAGCGCACCATGACCTACATGGCGCGCCCTTTGTTCGCGCGCGGGGAGTGCGTAGAAGATCGGTTCGCTTTCTGACCTGATGGGTTCATTCCCCCAGGCTTTCAAAAACCAAACGGCGATGGCTTACTTTGCTGTGGCAACTGCGTTCAATTGCTTGAGGCGTGCGAACAGTGCCCTGGTGGTCTAAGTGGTCTATGGTTGATTTCAGAGGGGGGTGCTCCAGCGAGCTCGCCTAGGGCCGAGAGCAAACCAATATCATTGAAGGTTCCTGTTGCAGTGCCATCAGCGGGCGAGTTCTTCCTTTGAGGGCTGCTTAACGATCCCTAAGTTCAGATTGGCAGTAGATGATAGCAGCCGATGCGAGCTGGCCCACTCCCCTGCATTGACTGCATCGAGGAGTCTCCTTTTGGAGGCCCCCCTTGGGTGCCACATAAGTTTGCAGGGGAGTAAGCTGAACGTTTGCGGAAACGGGATGAACTTGTTCGCTACCTCCGTATTGGCATGGCAAGCATGAGGAACCAGCCATCTAATCAGCCAAGTTCCAGACATATCCCCCAAATCAATGTACCTGTCCGAAAGATCAGATCCCAATAGAACTCAAAAACCAATGGGTAAACAACTTGTGGTGACTGCCTGGCATCCAGAAGGCCAAGCCTCTGACAGCGTTGTTTTTAGTGGCAGATCATGCCCATTCAACGGCCCACGACGTCTCACCACCCTTGGGGTGTCTAAAGGATTTAGTGTTTAGGGTTTGGGGTTTTGGTTTTCAACATAGCCTATTCGGATAATCCATGCAAGTTTGCTCAAAAGCAACATGTATCACCAACCTTATTTGTGGTTGTTCAGGATTCATGTATCAAACCAAAATGGATTCACACCCGATCGTATCAGGAATGAGTCAAGGATGCCCCACGCTGTTTTTATCCTTTGCATACACCATATGGAATGTATTCTTGCAGCGCGTGCCCAGGCGCACGTAGTTTGTTCGAAAGCAAGCAGGCGAGCAAGCCAGCCAGACAGCCAGCAAGTCAGCAAGCCAGCAAGGAAGGAAGGACAGAAAGAAGCCAGCCAGCAAGCCAGCAAGGAAGCAAGCAAGGAAGTGAAGGAAGGAAGGAAGGAAGGAAGGAAGGAAGGAAGGAAGGAAGGAAGGAAGGAAGGAAGGAAGGAAGGAAGGAAGGAAGGAAGGAAGGAAGGAAGGAAAGGAAGGAAGGAAGGAAAGGAAGGAAGGAAGGAAGGAAGGAAGGAAGGAAGGAAGGAAGGAAGGAAGGAAGGAAGGAAGGAAGGAAGGAAGGAAGGAAGGAAGGAAGGAAGGAGTGAAGGAAGGAAGGAAGGAAGGAAGGAAGGAAGGAAGGAAGGAAGGAAGGAAGGAAGGAAGGAAGGAAGGAAGGAAGGAAGGAAGCTGGCAAGTAACGAAGCAATCAAACAAGCAAACACGCAGGGAAGCAAGGAAGCAAGCCACCCATCACGCCTATTAGCCAACCTAGCCAACCAGCCAGATTTTCGCGTGCTCTTTTTGAATCCCCTCAGCACACCTTCGGATCTGACAGGTGGATGTGAAGCAGCAGGTGAGCAACTATAGGCCGGGTGTCGGGTTTCGGTTTCAGACTGACAAACCCGCAAACCCCGGTGCGGCTTTGGACTGGAAGTTGTCTCTTTTCTCACTTGCCGCACTTGGCGAATCGACCTTTGGACCTTTCGTGCACCCCTTTCTGGTCCATTTTTGGTCGTGGCCCCTGGTCGCGCTAGTGACCCCCACAGTTTTGGGAGGATCGTTGGGGGTCCGGGTCTCGAATTGCCCTAGCATGAGGCGAGGGCTGAGAGTTGTTCTGGGGGGCTTTCTGTTCGGACCCTGTTGCAACCTCCTTGAGGACAAATCAGTAGACCGTCAAGTCGGAGAAGCTGTGGCAGAGTGGCACTCTCCCACTGCAATGAACCAAAACTGAATAACCACTTGGATTTGTGTTGGAAAACAAAGGGATTTGCCATTGAGAACTGGAAACACATTGAAGCCCACAGCATCTTACTTGGGTGTATCTTTTTTGGAACCTTTTGTTTGGTGGTGTCAAAGGGAATCCAAAAACAACACCATTTGGTGGGTGATGAGGCCAACACATGATGCCTGTTCTGCAACCAGGTCCTCAGCGTCCTTGCAGAATGATATTTCCTCCAAGTTGGGTTTAGACTTGCGGGTGAGGCGAAAGGGGATCTCCCCCTTCCTGAGACTCAAATAAGTGACCCCCAACCCTCTTTTGGGTGAATCTCAAATTTGAAAGGGGTCAAGCGAAGGGGGTTGGCTGGCAACAGGAAGGCCGACCAAACCCACCAGGGAATCTGAAATTTTATCACACCCCTCCCGGGGGGACCCCTCGTTTGGGGTTTCCCAGTTCACGTCTTGGCCAGCTACCTGAAGAACCTCTCCATGGGCAACACCAAGTGCAAGATGGACCCCCCACAGTTCATCCTCAACCACACGCAGTGCGCCGGACGTTGCGACTCCCAAAATGGCCGAAGCCGAAAACCCATAGCCATGGTCCCACTTGCATGAAGCCATGGTTGGTCCCCCCTAACAAGTATCGAGTTTTGGTCCCCACGGCAGGGGGGCAACAAAGTAGTCTGGGGTCTCCTCCAGAGTCACTCTATATTTTCGGGCTGACGAAATATGAAACAGAATCTGACAAACATCATATGCATACCCCAGATTTGGGCCAAGTAATGATTGGAGTGTGGAAAAAAAGGCAAGTGAACAAGTCATTCGCCACATCATACCTAATAGTAGCCCTTTCCTTTCTTGAAATGCGGCTCGGGTTGTTTCCCTTCAGCACGGGGGTGTGGTATAAAGATCCATGCTTGCCGGTCAGCAAGGCCTCACGTTGCTCTCTTTGGCTTTGCTCGTTTTAATCAACCGCTTGGGAAATGGTATTTTCCCACCATGGCCTTGCTGCAGCGCGTCAAAGACTCCCCCGTGCGTGTTTTTGTGTGAGTGGCTCGAGCCACGGAGTGCACACAACCGGGGGTATATCCGAACCCATCTCGGTTGCTCTTTGGTTCGCTGCTTCATCTCTTTGGGAATGACAGTTGCTCGTAAAGGAACCGTGCATCACTTTTTGCAGGGGGTCGAACCGCTTCAAAATTGCGACCAAATGGTTAAGCCAACCTTATGTGGGGAAAGCAGGAAATCCAAATAGCAAAGTCCCCCCCAGCGTCCCTCTTAAATTGACCACCTGCTTTGCAGGGAATATTGAGCGAGCCTTGTATGCGGCTGGCAAGAATTCTCGACAGGAGTGTGAATGTTTGTTGGTTGGCTTTGCAAGTAGAGGCTGCAAGAAAAAGACGGTGTGCGAGGGGAACAGTCCATGTTCGCAGTCAAGGTGGTTTGTGACTGTTGCCCAAGGCACTCGCGGTAGGGAGGCCTTTCCAACCCAAGGATTGAGGGGAAGGCATGACAGTTGAGTATTACTTCAGTTTGTCACTTGCCGTGATGCTAAATAAGTTACTAGGCATCCCCCTTGCTTCACTGTTTTTGTTTTGTTTTGATGGAGAACCACTGCAGGTATCACACAATTTCAGAGCAACCATTTCCACAAACATGGGGGGGGGGGAAGCTGAACGATGGTTTGTGTTTGCTTTGTATTTGGCCTAAGGAATTCACCCGTGTGACAGAGATGTCTGACCCAGTGTGTTGTACCCATGTTCCCCCCCCCCCGCTCTTCTTCTGTTGTTGTTGTTGTTGTTGTTGTTGTTGTTGTTGTTGTTGTTGTTGTTGTTGTTGTTGTTGTTGTTGTTGTTGTTGTTGTTGTTGTTGTTGTTGTTGTTGTTGTTGTTGTTGTTGTTGTTGTTGTTGTTGTTGTTGTTGTTGTTGTTGTTGTTTTTTTTTTGGGGGGGGGGTCCATTCCCGCACCAAAAATCGGAACGCCTCCTTTTCGGACAGGCTTCCTTTTGCTCTGTTTTTGTTGGCGGGTTTCACATCAATTCGTTTGTTGAAGGAGGAATGATTATGTGCCGCTGGCAGAGCATTCCCCTGGATCATTCATCCCTTGCAAACTGGACAACCAATGCTTTGTGTCGGGCTTTGACGTTGACTGGGGCCGGAGCCGGTTGGGGAAGGGGTCTCTGGGGACTGCCGCATGGTCTCGTCCTGCGGACCTCCAGTTCGCAGCAGGCCAAGGCTTGGCACATCCGCGGCCTGGCTTACCCTGCTTAACGTGCTACCTTTGGAAAGCCAGAGTCGTGTGGAACACCCGGTCAGATTTTCGCTCATTGGAAGAGCTTCGAATCCTTGTGAAGTCACCCCTGGTTGCAACTATGGGGTCTCATACCAAGGGCTTGAGCTCCTAACTCAGGCTCCCGGGTTCCATGGGTAACCATTTTTTGTCGAGTCTTTAAAGGGAGTGTTTGTTTTGGCCGAAGGGAAATGGATCTATAGGTGTCGAATTGGGCTCCGTAGACTCCCGCCTGGTAGGTATAAGTGCGTCTTCTGGTGGACAGAGACCAAAGCGCCTGAGATCATTGCCACCATGGAGCGCCGCCCAAAAATTGCGGGCAGTGTGTGTGTGTGTGTGTGTGCGGGGAGGGTTGCGGCAAGGGTCCTGAAATCTGCGTTGGGAGTGGTCAGCCGAAAAACATATTTGTGTTTTACAGTTTGTTGGAAAGGGAGTTAGGGAGGGAAGCCAACTATTTTGGGGCTCTGAGGAGCCTTCTCTCAATCTTCCTCCGGCAGTCTATGGTGCATTTGGGAGAGACTTGTTGGGACACTGAATTTACCATAAACGAGAGCACTCACTAAATGTCCCATGTTCCTTTCGCTAGCCGCATATTCTGACGGTGGCTAAATTTGGAGAATAGCAATTTGTCTGTCAATTCTGGGACCCCCCCCCCCAAAAGAAAAAAACAACACGCCCACGGCTACGGTGTCACTAATACTCAGTTTCCATTTGGGGTATGGGTCAAAATCCAAATCGTGCCCCCAGTGAATATCCCAATCCCCACTAAAATAGACTAAAAAGAGTGGTGCACCTACCCCAAAATGGTACCATTGGTTTTGACCCACTGCCACGTGTTTTTTCAAATGGATTTTCCCTGGTCACTATTACTTACTACAGTTTGGTAGTCCACGTAAGCCCAGCTGCTCAGTGGCGCCCTTTTTCCTTTTTTTTGGGAAGGGTCCCCTTTAAACTTATCCAACCGACAGAGGGTGCCCTTTTTCCCCGTTGTTACTGGGCACCTGAGGAAGGCCAACTTTGTATTCATTTGCGCAACTTATGATGAGCTCACCGCTCCCAAACTCCCGGCGATCACCAACCCAAAGCGGGAACCCTCAAAAAACACAGACCCACATGGCGGGTCATTTTTCAGGGGGCCCATTTTTGGGTGGTGGTTTGAAAGGCAACCAAAGGGAACTATGCCTTTTGTGTTGGTTTTCTTATTCTGAGATAAACTCATATTTTCTGTCTATGCGCAAGATTCGCTGAGTTCCATCACCTTTTTCCGCAGGACACGGTGAACTGCCCCGACTGCATATTGCTGGTGCCGTCGCCCAGGGAGGCGAGGCATTGGGGGCAGCCCACTTCGGTGCCTCCTCCAAAACGATTGAGATGTCAGGGTAGACGAATTTTGATACAGAATTCGAAAGTATGATTTTCGGTGTATTCCCAGATTGGGAGCCAAGCCTGGTTGAGGAGGAAAGGCTGACGGCGCTCCCCATGAGCTTGTCACCAACCCACCGAGATGAAGGACATTGTGCCATTGTTCACCCTGGCTTATCACAGAACAAGTTGGCGATTTCCACCAGGAAAAGGTTGGTTCGATGATTCTTTGGGGTTGAGAAGTGGAAAGCCAAACCTCAACCGGTGAACGGCTTCGCTCGGGTTTGCGGTGGTCATGTTTCTACAATTGCGCCGGTGTCTTTGGCGGCCTGGTGAACCCCCTGAAGGGAAACCTTCAACGGGGAGGATGCCCCCCTTTTGGATGGCTGTACAAGGGCAACCGAAAGGAAACCCCCAGCAAAAAACAGATCTTCGGTTCCAATTCGGAATCACCCAACAGTTGTCAGATTCTCTTCAAGGGGAATCCTGATTGAGCTTGGGGTACTTTCGGATGTTCTCCAAGTGTGTTTGAAGCGTTTTGGCGCCGGCCTCTCTGCAATGCAACGCCAACCGTCATGTGTCATGGTCTTTGACTTTTTTGCTCAGGGATGGTCACGAAGCCCTTCATAGAGAATTCCAAGTTCCTCTGTCGATTGGCTCCATCCACTTGCTTGAGGCAACGGTTGTTTATCCACTTTCAAGAGGACTGAATGGGCAAATGCGTGTTTTTGTTTTTTTTTTCAGAGGGCCCCGTTTAATGGGTTCTACGAAAGGCTACCAATCGCTGGCTTGCAGACAATCATGTGAGCATCCGAAAGGAAACCATTAGTGAGAACCCATTGAACGGTCACCCAAAACCCCCCCAAACAAATTCGTTGCTCGATCGCTGCCTTCGCGCCAGTTTCCGAAGAGCCACCTTAGTCTGCAGTACCAGACGCAGAAGAAGCGCGGGCTCCAAGACTGTGGGTTGACTCGATGGCATCTTGGAGAGGAGGGTGATGGCGTGCGTGCGTGCGTGCGTGCGTGCGTGCGTGCGTGCGTGCGTGCGTGCGTGCGGGCGTGCAGGCGTTCGTGCGTGTGCAGGCGTTCGTGCGGGCGCACTTGCGCGGTGCGTATGTGTGTGCGCGCGTGTGTTTCCATTGGTAGCTTTTTTGGGTGATTGCCAAGGGAAGTGTAGAAGGAACTTCACTATTGGAACATAATGCTGGCTGTCAAAATTTGCGAAACATGGGACGAGGGCCCTTCTGGAAGCGACGCCGCGCACGCCAGTCGCCCATGGCTCTCACGTCAGGCGCGTCTTCAAATCCGACGAGGCGCGTTGGGGGGTGATTTTGAAGGCTGACTATACACGCCCTTGTTGATATTTAGTGGTTAACACAGTCAAACATTGGCGGTTAACACAGTCAAACATTGGTGGACATAGTAAGGCAGCTGGAAATGGTGTCCACCAGAGGGCCACTAGAAATGATCTCCGTGTACTTTGGGAAATGAGATCGCGACCCAACGGAGGTTCTTGCCCTGTCATAGTGGCTTTCTTTTGTTGTGATGAATTATCACAGGAACCCCGGCATGAACTCGTCCATTCTCTTTCCAACCATTATGGAAGATGACCGAAGGGCTTGCGCAAGACGGAAAAGGCCCTTGCCCACTTCGATTGTTGGACCCAACATGGCTATGGTGATTTAACACCCAGCTTGGGGCCTTGCTTTACTGCCACTTCCACAACCTGGGGGAGCACCCACCTGTTTTCGACCCCAGGGTCAGGAGACTTCAGGGGTCCTTTAGGTCAGATCGACCTTTTGGGTCGGAACGGTCACCAAGAAAAGCGAAGCTCGGAGTTCCTCAAAGATGAGACCTGATTTGTTTCCTTTGGTTTCCTATTAGGAGACGGCCCCATGAGCGTTTGACTCGTCCTAAGGGTTTCGGGGCGAGGAAGACACACCCATACATCTAAGCCCATTTGACTTTGTCACTTTGGGCGTTGTTTTTTGGGGGGGAGGCACTAAGGGAAACCAGCCGGAAGCGGCTTGCGCGAAGGTATGGAGTAGGGACTTCCTGTATGGCGAGTACCACACCGTCCCCTTCCAGGAGGGACATCCCGGGAGCGGAGCCAGGGATTAAGATCACGATGAAATGCAGAGCTTTTCGCCTTCTGGGTTTTCCATCTTGGCCGAACAGGTCAACCTTTTGTTATTGCCACCAACACTGGGCAGACACCAAGATGCACATTTCTGAATGCCCTCAGGTTCAGGTCGGACTTTCAGCAAAGGAGTTTCATCCAGTATGATGGATGAGGCTGACAAAAACATGTTAACTTCTCCCTGAAATGTGGCAAGTGGATGGGCAGATGACGTGGAATACAATCACGGAGAGTGAGTGGCCCATGGCGCGCCAGCAGCGCGAGTTTGTTTCCAGGGCTTGTTTGAACATGTTTACACGTTTTGCCCCAAGGCTCAGTTTTTAATTAGGCATTGGCCCGGAAACAGCGACACTCGGTCCAGAACTTGTTCCAGAGCCCAGTCATGCGCTGTGAAGGTGTAAAACTAACAAATATTTATAAGGCAGACTATGCCCCTGTACCAGCAATGCAATGCTCAAAACCGCGGCCTTTGGTGGACAATGCAGAACTGGGAGATCCCCGAAGATGGTTTTCCAAGATGTTCCAAGTCTTGCTCTGAGTAGAGAGGGTCCCCATTTTAAGACTTCAATCTGTGCTTTCCCCTGAACTTGGGTTTTGTTCCAGGTCGCCCCTCAGACACCAATCACCTTACCTGATGCACTGATGAGTGGGCAAACTTTACGCTTTTTATTGGTGGATTTCTGGTTTAGCGGTGAAAGTGAATCGACCTTTTGGACTTTCCTGTTGTGGTAGATATGTTAAGGTCGGAAAAGGTTACCCTCCCACCAAGTAACGTGGAAGTGCACAAAGCCCCCTGCCCAAGAGGAAAGTAGTTTTTCTGCAGGGTTGGTCGGTGGGGTCCTGGCAAAAGGTGGCTGCTGATGTCCATTGCGCGGATTCGGTTTGGTTTAGGCATCCCCCTACCCGCATCTACTGGGAACTGTGCCATCTTCCTTTTTTTTCGAAAGGTGACTCATTTAAGGGGGAGTCCGGATCACTTTTGGGGGACCCCCTAATTTGTTCACGAGGTCCTTCTCAAATCCAGGAACCGTGCCTGTTAACACGTTGGTTCATGATGTCATGACCATATGACCCCATATCTGGGTCAATCTTTGGTACCATCGCTTATGTGTGGGCCTATGTCCATCTAGTTTGGTTTGGTTGAACATTCACCAACACATCTGACCTCCAAACGTTCGCTACTGATTCAGAGCCATAGGCAAACCATGGGAAGGTCATGGCCCGAAATGGGCCCAGAGGGCCTGAATAGTCGCAACTAGTCACTAGGCCGCGAGTCTCTGGATCCAGGTGCTGAGCGCGGACAAATTCACTCACACCACGTGCGCGATGCGGATGTGAGGTGTGGGCTTCAGGCCTTAGGGCTTTTTGGGGGAAGCCGGAGAGGGTCATTTTTAGCTGATTTGAGTCTACCTTTTGAGTTGAATTTGGTCGGGTTTCGGGGAGTGAAGACTTGTGCGAGGGTCCTCCAGATTTCTTTTGGGTACGGTTTGCCTTTAAACCAGAGGATCCAATTTTGAGGATGTAACTTCAATCAACTTTTTGTTTTGATCTCCTGTGGTGGCGCTTTAGCGAGTTGGTGAGTGCCCGGGTGGCACCGGCCTCAGTTTTGCGACAAGATCTTATCGATAAGTTTGCCAAAAAGAGCCGCTAGCCATTTAGCCCATTCTCGTGAGGCAATATTCCTCTTCAGAGGTGCCTTTGCTTTTTCCGCGTTTGTGCTGCCCTTTCTAGTTGTCTAGTTTCTATACTGAACCTTCCTTTGTAGTTACCATTTCACCATTCTGTCATCCTGTGAAGGCGTCAGGCGAGTGACACACGCGTGCTTCTCTATAGGTGAGATGTAGAATTAGGCATACCCGACATAGGGACGGGCGTTTCAAGGCCATTTTTCTTTTTTTTGGTCGTTGCCCGAAAGACTAGGTGAACTGCATGGTTGGGATACGCCCTTAGAGCAACGGATTGATCGGCGTCTGCTTCAGCCAGTTCCAGTTCCCCAAGGCCCAAGGTCTTTGTTCAGACACCAAACTGGCTCAACTGTATACCCTCCCAACCATGGAGTGCACAGGGTCCCTTTCCAAAAGGGTCGCAGATGCTCTTCCGCAGTAGCCGTCGCATCGCTTACCAGTAGGCAGCCAGGGGAAACCATCCATGGTAAAACCTGCCTGGTTGCCTATGGTGGTTGCCTGGACGCGCTGGGTGGTTTTTTTCTTGCACTTCATGGCCCGGCACCGCCAAAGCGCGTGTGGATCGCGAGCCATGGTAATGAGGGAATGTGGTCCAACCGCCTGGTTGCTTAGGCCCCAGTTGCGCCTATGGGTCACCAGCCATTGTCATTTTTGTCTTAAAGGGTTGTTGCCCTGGTTGCTTGTACAGGTAAGTGGATGAACTAGGGATTGGGATGGTCATGGACCCCTTCATAGGAATTCTAGACGCGCAAACAAATACCATCACCCGCACAAGGAATTCTGCCCAGTATCTCAACCGCAATGTTGGACGGCAGGTTACACACCTGGAGCTGACAGAAGTCATACTCTTGCGCTCTGCTCGAGTTAAGGTTGATAGCATTTTGCCAGAGCTGCAAGTAAAGTTCTGAAAAACGGTTTGGATGCGTGTTTTGTGTTGTGATGTTCACCCGTTTCTCTTCTGTTGGTTCTTTAGTAATCTCTTGGGACTCTCTTTTAATATCCTACAGGGGTGACAGCCACTTCCAAACAGTTTTCTAGAAACGTGCGGGCTAATAACCTTCCCGAAGAAATAGCATCACGCAGACAGTCATTTAGTTGGCAAGCTGATATCAAGCTCACTTGGGCCTCCCGCTGAGCCAAGGGAATCGCTTTGAGTAGCCCCGGCTCATCAATTGAGACTGGAAAAATCGGCATGCCAAGCGGGACGCTAAGAGCCCCTCACAGGGCGCGCCCTGGTGGAGTTGGGTCCAGAGAGCGCCATGAGAACTTTCAGCAAGTACTCAGCGACATCCCAGTTGTGGTGTTTGTGTTTGATTTCACGGGGAATAGCCCTTTTTCTTCATCCGTGCAACTGACCTCCATGGCAAGTGGCTTAACACCCGATCAGGTTGCGTTCCCCAGTTGTTCTTTGGCACCCTCTAAGTTCCTTCTTGTTTGGTAGGTGTTCCACCGAAAAAGCCAGAAGCTATGCACCACGGTTACATTTCTTGTTCTCCGTTCCCCGTCAACCGGTTACAAGATCGCACAATTTTCTTTTTGTTAAGCCAAGTTCACTGGCTGCAATTGGAGATTCATTTCGTTCAGGTACGAGATCTACCTGGAGCGAGACGCTCCCTGGTGGATGAGAACTGCACCTCGTCTCGGCGGAAAAGACCAGGGGTCCCTATTTTTCCCCTTTTTGGTGGCTGAACACATCACCTTTTGGTTGCCAATTTCTGGTGGGTTTCTCTCGCTAGGTGTCATGTTTTAAGGGGAAATATAGGTGTAGGGAAGCCTGAAATAGTATTTGAGCGCGTACAGTGGACAACACGTACTTCACGCCAGCAGGTGGTTTGTCCCAGTTCATCGGGGCACATCCATCCCAACTGGTGCAAGAATTGTTTCATCCAATATTCGCCGTTGGAGATGATATGGGCTACAACGGCACCCCGTTTAGAATTGCTTTTGCAACGAGATGCTTTAACAAAGGCAAGAATCCCTTTTCTACACTAATATGTCTGCAATCGTTTTTTGACATCTGCAGCTTGCCATAGCAAAGGGAAGCCCAAGCCCCCCTCTTTCGGTGGTGTTGGCAAGCTCATTTGAGTCCTCCGCATTTTCGATGGGCTCCCCGACCACTTGAGGAACGGCTCCCTATGAATAACAGGTTTGTTCTTCCGGGGTTCTAATATTAGTTTGCATCTGCGTGCTTTGTGTTTCAGAAAACCTCACACAGATGCGTGTTTGCAACATGGTTTCTGAGATTTCATATGCATCTAAACTCCACTGTTGCATAGAATATACGTTTCCGCAAGCGGGCAACAATACGGCCATGACGATTGCGGTAGCTGGGCGGAGTGATGCTCAGGGTCCCTCGTTGCCCCGCTGGCCGACGGGTTGGTTGTTCTGAGTTGGCAGGTGCCTTCCGACTTCGCCCGAACTGTTTGGATGGTTTCTTGTGCTTTCATCTATGGACCATCTCTGCAAGTTAAACATGGAGTCCAACAATGGGATCCCCCATGAGAATATTTTTCTGACAAAGCTGGTTCCACGTCAATGTGCAGGGAGACTGCCGGAAAGCTTGAAGATGTGAGGACACCTTCAACCCCACCTTTTGAAACGCCTGTGTGTTCAGTCCATTGGGAAACCATCATGGTTTTCCCACTTGGGTGCTTTGTTTTTTTTGGAGGGTACCATTTTTTTTTTCAAAGGAAAACCCACAAAGACGATCACCTCCTAAACAAATCCTTCCCCAAAAAATACTTTTTTGGGTGGGGTCCCCCCAAAAAGCGGACACCACTTGAAAGGCTCTCGTGGCGCTCCTTTGAGGCCACCACCCGCGCCATCTCCTCCTGGGCAACGACTCTGGCGACGCCGGGACCCGCGGGGGTGGCGGGGTGTTTCGTGACAACTGGGGCCACATGGCTCGGGGACAGTAGGAATTTCTAGACATGGGCCAAAGACCCAGCAACATCCAGTTGATGTCCATCTTGCATTTCCTGCAGCTGGTTCCTTAGAATGTTGAACTTGAGGAAGCATGTTTTGTTGGGTGGTCGGAAACTTCCCAAGCAGCGAGAAACTCAGAGACACAATTGGTTGTTTTTGGCCCTTGTCATATTCGACCTTCAGGCACCAACACACCTCAGGCAACGAAGCCGGGTTTCTGGACGCGCCCGCTGGACGCTTTGCTGGGTGCTTTTTGGCAGTTTTGGTAAGACGTCCTGGAATTAACCCAAGCTAAATGGTTCTGGCAAGGGTCCCCTCACTCCAAAAGAAATCAAATGAGAACCCCGGCAAAAAACAGTGAGACCCAGTCAGTTTCCTGAACATTCCCCTGTGTTTTCCTTGGTTTTCCATGGGTCTCCATTGGTTTCCATGGGTCTCCGTTGGTTTCGATTGGTTTCCATGGGTTTCCCTCTTCGAGGGGCCCCCGCGCCGAGGGTTTTGGCCGCCACCAGCGCCAGCAACTTCGTGGCCTTGGCGCGGCAGGCGACGGGCGAGGTCGCACAACGACTTTTTGTTTTTTGGGGCGGCGGATTTTTGAAGTGCAAGCAGTTTACGTCTACCCTTAAACAAAGTGTCTACTTGATTTTCTCCCTAACACAAAGTGGAAACATATTATGAAACAGTTTATGAAACAAGTTTATTAAGCAAGTTTATGAATCAAGTTATTGGAACTGTTTATGAAGCAGTTTCTGAAGCTATGCGGTCCTGGGAAGAGAACCATCAGAGATTAGCAAGAAGAAACTAGCGGAGGCGTTCGTTTTGGGTGTATGGGTGAGAGGAACAGGTTCGGGATTGAACGAAGCAGGGTGCCCTGAGAGGCTGAAAAGTCTGAGAATATAGCGCGTCAAATAGGGATTTGGGGCTCCGTGTTCCTTCCGCATTCCTTTAATTCTGAGAAAGGGTCAAACAAAACACACCTCCCGCATATGTGTGCTAGCCCTTGTTTTGTTGGGGCTGGGTACTTGTGATTGATGTCATTGCAACGCATCAGCCGCCTTGAACCTCGGCTGAATTCCACGCTCAGGGATAGTCTGTGACAGCGGAAAGTGTGGGCAGGCTCATCACTCCTGGCTGCTTGGGACACTGCAGAAAGCCAGGCGTTATTGGCATTTGTTGGAGTCATTGACGGACAAAGCTGCGAGCCTGGACTTGCCAGTGCCAGAAGGAGGACGCACCAAGCAGGTTCGGTTCGTGGGTGAGTTTCGACGGCTGGCACGGCCCAAGCATGGTGTCGCGTCACTGTCTCATGGCAGGGCTTCAACGCAGGGCGCCGTTTGTTTCAACATTTGAGGCATGTTTTGCCGGCGCTCAAGCAGTGTGAAGAGCTGGACATAGGAGGATGCCTTTTCTCGGACCGTTTTTACGACCACCCTTGAAGAAGGCCGTGTATCTTATTATTTCAATTATAAAGGCCACCCAATTCTTACATTGGAACCCTTTCTTATTGAGCTGCGCTGCAGCCCAAGGAGGCGGAGGGTTCGAGGGTTTGCAGGAGCAACTCGCCGGGCGGTGCTGACTTGTAAAAGGGTTCTTTTTTGAGGGTATGGAAGCAACCTGTTCACACCTCCAGCAACTTGTGCCGCCGGAAAAGCTTTTGTGGAACTTGGAATTTGCCTCATGGAGGGTACCTCTCGCAGGACGGAAGCTAACAACAGGTGTTGTGGAAGGTTGCTTACGCCCA